TAGCCAGGAAACTTTTAGCAGGGGATGTTTTTCTTTGCTTAAGCTGTTTGAAAGACACAAAAAAGAGAGAAAAAGAAACTGTCCAAACGCAATTTTGTTTACTATTTTCCTGTTTCCTAGACAAAAAAGTCCAAACATTTTTGCCACATCTCGTTCTTACAATATTTAAAAAAATAGAAATTTATTGTTCAACGACGAAAGAACGCAGTCATAAAATATTATAATTGGCTTTAAACAAAAAAGTCCAGACGGGGTCACGAAAAATTACGGTGAGTGCACTTCAATGCGGAACATTCGGGTATCCAACGACTGAAAACTACAGAAAAGTGACAGAGAATAGCGAAGTTTAAAATACAGTTAAACACAAAAACTACAATGCGCACTGGGGCAATGAGCTAGTGAAGCGTCACGCTCATTGTTCCAGCGCGGATCACATTTTTCAGAAATTATCGTTGTATAGTCATGTTTTAGGTTATTTCCGTTCTTCGTTGTCGTTTTACCAGAAAGTGAAAGAGAAAAATACCAGTTTCTATTATTTTTTGTGGTTTAAATATTTAGTGGAAGCCGCCGTCGGTCGATAGAAAGAAGCGAGAGTACCCTTTCGGTGCTGATTTGCATATTCCGGTGAATGTTCGAAAGCGCAGCCCCTATACTGCGCTCCCGACTAAGCTCAGACTAGAAGCTCTGCTTTTAGCGCGAGCTTTCTGCCCTTGCAAAAACAAGTGTGATCGCGCAGGCACGCGCAACCAAAGCACTGCCGAAGCCAGCGAGCTCGCGTTAAAGGTGGAGCGTCTGGTCTCAGCTTAGAACGAAGTAGCAAGCGCCCCTGGGACGTTTAAGCACTAGGGTGCTTCAACGTCCCAGTCTCCGGAGTCTCGAAAACAAACGTTCCGCTTCAGCGCTGCTAACGAACATGGTGGCCACGATTTGCAGCAGGCGGGTTACATTAGGATACAAGGCCTCTGGGCAAATGCAAGTTGCCTGTACCGCCCAGACGCGTTAAGGGCCGCCCACACTAGCGAGAAAACGCGCGCGGCGCGCCGATCGCGTTGAAAACGCCTTCCGAAATATCGGTTGAATCCTCGAGATCTTGCGGGAAATCATGCGTTCGCTCGAGTGCTTCAAGAGTGCGCGAGGCCTCCTGTGCTGTCACGCGACATTCGCGGCGGCAGAACTCTATCTAGTGTGGTGTTCAGGATGCGGGACGCGCCTTCCCGCGATCGGCGTGCGACGCGCGTTTTCTCGCTGGTGTGGGCGGCCCTTTAAGTGGTGGGGTCCCTCCACATCTGTGTCAAAACTTGTACTTCCCCAGGAAGTTCATTTAACAAAACGAACGCTCCGCCCAGGCTGGATATTAGCTCGAAATCGAGGCTTGCGACACAAAGACCGGCGTCGTTGGCCACAACATCACTCTCGCCTAGGGTGGACGATGCTGCCTGACGTGAATGTGCCAACTCTGTTGGAGATATTGATGGCACGCTTGAAGTTGTAGGTCAATAATCAATCTTTGAAAAAGCATCAAGCGACAGCTTGACTCTTGAACTCTTTTTTGAAAGTTTATATACGTAAAGGAAGTTCCACGACTCACATGCTAAACGCAAGCACGTAAACATTACCCACTGCAGCGATTTAAGGCTGAAGTCCATGGGACGAATACGCCGCAAAACATCGACGCCCGGCGGCTTTTGCTCAGCGCGTGGCATCAGCACAGTGGCTGCTACGTCGCGCGCAAAGCGAGCGTGCCGTAGGGCGACGTTCGTCAGATATTCATCGCATAATTCGCTTCAAGTCAACTATACCCATTTTCACCTCAAGAACCATAGTAAAAAAAGTCTGGCATTTCGCGCAGTATTACTGATTTCCCCCTTTATGTAGAGAATTAAGATATATGTAAGTGAATCGTAGACTAGATACGTGTTATCTTATCAACACATACACGTTCCAAACTCCAAAAGCATCGCTTTTTCCTCCGACAACCAAATCTCGCAAGAACTACTTCGCGCCGCATATGAACAATGCGCAAAACTTGCTTTTTTCTTGAGGTGAAAATGGGTATGGGTGCGCTTTGAAACCAAGTGATTAATAGCATTCCAAAGCTCCTTCAACAGCGCATATGCTGTCACTTTTCTCTCTTGTTTCTTTCCTTTCTTGTTTTTTTTTTTCAAAGTTGTGAATGTTTTTGTGTGTGTGTTCTTTTTTTGCATTTTTGTTTGAAGCTAAACGAGTACAGGCAAGTAAAACGTAAAAAAAAACGGGACAAAAAAAAACCGCTAAGCTGTTTGCTATTTTGTCGTCCCGTTTCCTCCTCATTGTGGGGTTCGTAAAGTCAAAGTATTGCTATTTTGAGATTTTCTTGCGCTGCCCTGAAATTGTCATCGAGTCCTTGACACTCAAAGGGTGGGGGAACTTTAGTTAAGCCGGCTGCAATTCTTGAAGCGAGGCCAGTGTCCTTCGAGGTAAGGATTTCCCGGCATTTGTGACGTCGGGAGCTGAGCCCTTCTCATCTGCGGGCCTGAAGAAAAGCTTCGGTTACTAAAATGGCCGAGTTTGGAGAGAGCTAGCTGTTCCAAAAGCCGAAGCCGGAGATGTGTTTTTCACCCAGTCCACGGACAGCGTCGTTTTCTTCGTTTTGCTTTGGTATGTTGTGGGCACGGCCCCTCGCCGTAATAAGTTGCGAAACGGTAAAGAAGAGGTAAAGAGGACAACATGAAATTTGGGGAATGTTCCAATTCTTGAACACCCCCCCCCCCCCCCCCCCCCCGCCGTCCTCTGGCTACGCCACTGGTGTGCAAAAAGGTTCTTGTTTTCCAAATAAAATTTAGTTGCCAGTAGCGCTCCGAGTTTGCACTACTACTTCTTACAGTTCAATTGTTTGTTTCTTCTTGCGCTTCTAAGTATAGATTTATTGCAGCTGACGTCACTTCCAGCTAAACTGTAGATCAAAGCCAACATTGTCGTCTGCCTTGGCGCCATGTCGGAGGCATTCGGCGTCTTATTGTGACAGCAGTAGTGCTGTAAAGTCATAAAGCCGTCAATACTTCAGCTTGGGCGAGTTGGTTAAACATGCTAATACTTCGCAGCGCACAACAGACAACACACCATCAAAACAGATACACACAAAGAAACAACACTCACGCAGCGCTGCGTGAGTGTTGTTTCTTTGTGTGTATCTGTTTTGATGGTGTGTTGTCTGTTGTGCGCTGCGAAGTATTATCATAAAGCCGTCTTTGTATAACAACATTTCAGAATATTTTCTTGACCTAGTCAATCGCAAAAAAGTTATTCACCTGACACGAAGTGCAGTCCATAAACCCATAGTTAGGGTACGAAGCTTTTATGTCAAGATCATAGAGTCAACATAATAATCTAAAGCGAAAAGTCCCAAGCGTTTCGCCGCGACGGTTGGGCGATGCATAGACGCGGACATCGGCGGCCCCATTTGGCGGTCCCTATGATCTCATATCGCTGGCGACGCATATGCACAAAGGAGCAGCAAAGAATCACCCGTAAATTCCGCACCTTTTTTTTTTACTTTGCAGAAAAACATTTGAATTGTGCGTTGACAAAATTAAATAAAGGTAGGCTGCACCAACTTACTTATTAAGACATCCTCGCCCATCTTCCTTCCAACAAAAAAAGAAAGCACATACGAAAAAAAAAAATAATCTGCGCCGAGCAGCGTCGAACATGCGCCGACTAAAGTCCCTCGATGTTTTTTCACTGCGTTTTACAAGTACCGTCATTCTTTGCCGCGCCGACATCTGTTTCTATTGGAGGAGAGCGATGTCACGTGATTTCCGGAATTCTCGCCACTTCCGTCCGCCATTTGCTTCCAAGCTGCTCGGCTGCTCCGTCCGCTCGCGTGTTTCGTGATACCCGCCGACGACTTTAGCTCGACGTTCTGGTGTTTCTGAACCGTAATGAGGCCAGTAAAGTAGTAAGCGTTTGTGTTAGATGACGGGGTGTTGCGCTTTTGGGTGCAGCCAGAGTACTGGTAGAGGAAAAAATTTGTTCGCCATTCTGCTTCGGAAAGCCGATCTGAAGAGGCAGAAGGCATGGCTCCACATGATTGGGAGGAAAAACTTCGTCCCTACCAGAAGCAGCAAGCTTTGTGAGGTGAGCATTTCTGGGCTAGTTATTTCTTCCACACACGTTCACATAGGTACACATGCAATGTTTTTCCTGACGCGCCTGACTGCCGAACTCGGTCTCAGCTGAAATGCGGACTCGGTGCTCTGCCGTTTTAGCCCGTTGTTTTTCACTCGAAAACCCGGTTGTTCGCCGGCAAAGTTTTTCGCGTAGTCTGAGTTTTTAAGGGACACGATATGAATAGATGAAGCCGCCGATTGGCCGCTTCAGCTGTGAGTGTCTCGCAGTGAACCTCTAGGAAATACGAAAAGCTACTATCGAGGACAACATGAGCCGAAAACGCCTTTCATGTTTCTTTGGCTTACCACCTGTTTTTGAGAGAGCTGTGGTCCGAACTAGGAAGAGAAGGCGAAGTTGAGGAATAATGGAGCTTGTGGGAGTCGCAGAAAGAGGTTGGATCGGGTGTTCCAGCTCGTACTGTCCGCGCGCGTGGAGGGCGTACAATGCGCGGCACTGTTAGCTCAAACAGAGCATCGGTGACTCTACGTCTTTTACTTCCATGGAGTGTTGCTTTGCGCCAAATTTTACCGCTTAGGTTAGCGTCCCAAATTAGCCCTTCCCACCGCGCTAGCAGTTTTGATGACGAACTTTTTATTCCGATAGAGGAAAAAGCGGCGATCACTCTTCTGTACTAACAGTGTGACGCTCTCTACCTCCAAACAAAGTCGAATTTTTTAGTGTTCTCAGTGCACTGTACCGTGAATTGCAAGTTAGCCCTGTTCATTCTCGACAGGACCATTTTTCACCGGATAAGTTTGAACCTCGGATCTGGCAGAGCCATGGCATCAAAAATACTTAAACCAGACGCTGTCACAGCAACTTTAGCCATAGGCCGCCAAAGCCAGTTCGATGACCGTGAGAAAGGGAAATGGGAAACATCCAAGGTAAGTTGACACAGTCAGAGGTGGTGAATTTGCAGTCACTTGGTTGCTAGATTTGGTATTAAAATGCTACCTATTTTAAGCAGGGGAGCCAATGTAGGAGGAAGACAGCATCCAGACGCTTCCATCTCTGCATTCAACTGCTGCTCTCACAGGTGTCGTATTTCCTCCTTCACAGATTATTGAGAATATGCTTGTCCAAGGTGATGAATTAATGCAAGTAGCATTGAACTGCATGCTGACAAAGTTTACAATTTCAGCACAAGCCTTGCCCTCGCACACAGAGGCACAATCCAGCAAAGTGCAAAACTGCGACCAGGAGTCTGTGCCTCAGGCGGGCCCCCCAGTTGGCGAGTCACACGCAATTCCAGCATTTAGTAGCCGGGCACACGCAGCGACATATGCAGTCACAATCATCCTTTACTCGACCGTGTGCCAGGCGTACTCTGGGCTAATTCTTCTGTTCCTTCTTTTTCGGCTTGTATTTGCCCATCTCAAATGTGGTATGTGCTTTCTGGGGCATTCCTGCAACAACTGACTATCCTGCCATGCGTATATGTGCGGTATGTACCGAGGACATCGTAAAAAAGTATTGGAATTTATGTCAGCAGGCTCTTCTGTGCTTTGGGTAAGTGTTGATTTGCACCATACATGCGTCCCTGCCAGGGGCGGATGCAGGAATTTTTTGAGGGGGGGGGGGGGGGTCAGCGTACCATACGTTTAGGAACCCCCTCCCCCTCGTTTCACGTCCTAAATTTTACACACGCAAAATTCAAGAGGGGGGTCAGGACATCCGGACCCCCCCTCTAAATCCGCCCCTGGTCCCTGCTGTAATGAACAGCGTGAGTGGAATTTAACTGCCTGCTGATAAAATTCCCGGCTTCAGCACGAGCCTTGCCCATACTCACAGCCGCCCACTCCAGCGAGATGCAAAGCTGCGACTGGGAGTTTGTGTCCAATGCGGATGCTGCAGTTGCTGAGTAACATGATGGCCAGACACAAATGCTGCATGACATTGTTAGTGCGAGTACAACTGCGGCACTCTTTGCATTTTACTTTGAATTAGTAAATGCTGGCACCAAATAATAGGGTGCAACTTTGTGCCCGATATGAACATTTTTCATCCCTTGTTTGCATTAACAGTGTCGCACTTTGTTAGGTCAGAACAATCCTTAACACCAGTGGGGTGAGGCGTACGGAATTCATGCCATAAACCGATCTCACCAGCCAGTTTGACTACGCGCCACAGCTTTCGCAATGCATTGAGGGAACTTCAGTCTTTCTGCACGTGCCCGAAACACTGGAACTCTGCGCGTGAGACAGCACAAGCCGTTTCGGGCACCACCGTCTACCTATTGTGAACTAAAGTTATGGCGGCTTCATGCATGCGCCGAACGTTTGGTGAGGTGGGTCTATTGGTGGCAGGACGACAACAATTTCTTTCTTTTTGTCTTTATTGGTCCCTCTCAAAACAAATGCATTTCTGTGACCAATGACTACTCTGCCATACAAATGTCTGCTGCATGCACCATATTGTGGGGTTTCATTTTGTGCCTACAAAATTTACAGGTTCACTGCAAGTCTCAATACAAAAATCGAAAATCGGAGGCTCCATCCTAATAAGAACTCTTGGTCAGTGCTCTGTGCTTAAACAAAGTAGGTCAATGCCAAAGGGTGCAATATTGCTTTTGCATGAAATTACACACAGAACATATAAGAGCTTTATGCCCATTCTCGATTAATGCTGCAGGGAGCAGCTCCCTCCACAATTATGAGCATTCCTTATAAAAGTACAAATGGCAGCCGTGTCTAGAAGTGAACGACAGGACTGACGCTGGCTGTTGTCTTTGTTCGATACTCAGGAGCGGTTCCCTCATTCCTGGCAGCAGGCTCCTCCGTCCAGCCATGTACATCGCAGGGGACGACTGCCTCAAAGGGTGAGACGTTTCCCTGATTGAATGACAGCCATGTGTAGAAGTGAACGACAGGACTGATGCTGGCTGTGCTCTTTGCTCGCTACTCAGGTGCGGTTCCCTCATCCCTGGCAGCAGGCTCCTCCATCCAGCCGTGTACACCGCAGGGGACGACTGCCTCGAAGGGTAGGACATTTCCCTGAACGAATGACAGTCGTGTGTAGAAGTGAACAACAGGACTGACGCTGGCTGGGCTCTTTGCTCGCTACTCAGGAGCGGTTCCCTCATTTCTGGCAGCAGGCTCCTTCTTCCAGCCAGGTACACCGCAGGGGACGAGTGCCTCGAAGGGTAAGGCATTTTCCTGAATGAATGACACTCGTGTGTAGAAGTGAACGGTAGGACTGATGCTGGCTGTGCTCTTTGCTTGCTACTCAGGTGCGGTTCCCTCATTCCTGGAAGCAGCTGCTCCCCCGTCCAGTCATGTACACCTCCCCTGGGTCCAATAGGTCAATCAATTCCTGGTGCTCCCCTTCTTCGTCATCGGTTGCCCAGATTCGTCGCCAGAAAGTAATCGCCTGATCAACATCAATGTTCTCGTCCATCTCCTTCTGGTCTTCGTCAAGTTTCCGGCAGAAGGCAGACCGATTGAGCTTGAACAGCGTGTTCGTTTTCCGATACTCAATCCGGTTTGCCGCAGTGATCGGTTTTTTGTGAAAAACTGCCCTTTCCTCTTCGATCTGGTCCTCAAGCTTCTTCAACTGGTCCTTGTTGTTAGAGTGGTACTGGTTGGCTTTGCAAATTCGTTTTAATGCTCTCAAGGGAGCCTTGTTCTGTTTGACTGGTGACAATTTACAGCTGTTGACTAAGCTCCTTGATCTTTATTTTAATGGCCTCCTTCCAGTTCAACTTCCTTTTGTCACCTCCTCATATGTCAGCTGGCAAGCGCAGATCAAATCATTCAGCTCTGTTAGAATATTCACCTTCTTTTCCAGCTCAATCCCGATGACCTGATAGTTTACTTCCTGACTGTATACCTTTCTTGTTCTCTTTCGGTCAGTTTGGCGATTAAGGGCCAGCTCAATGTTACTGGCCAGCAGATTCTTTATATTGGTGTACAGTTGGCTGTTTATTATGGTCGCTGGCAACGGCCATTCTCTTTCTTCGGCCACCTGACCACTGCCCGATTCAGTAGGCTGTTGTTAATTTTTGCACTGGGTATGCTTGTTTTTCATCGTTGTCGACGTTACATTCTGGTTATGCTTCCGATTATGCTTGATTGTTAGTTTTGGCCACCAACCATTGGGCATCCGTCCATGTGGTCCTTTACTTCGCTCGATCACCAAGGCCAACCATCTTTCTGGTGTTGTCTCCCTGTCGGCTCGCCTCACAATCGCTGCAAAAGCCACTTCTCTGTCACTGGAAATTCTTATCATCATCGCCATTCAGGTCGGTTAGTGGTCATCGCCGGTTGGATTGGCACTTTTGTTATCATCGGAAATGGCTGCTGGGGTTCGTGCTGAATGCGTCAGTGGCCATTGTACTCGCGAGACGTCGTTGATTTCGGAGGAGTTTTCAGTTTCAACGCTCGGAGAATTTTTATTTAGCGCTTCCATCCCTGTTTGGCAGTGACACAGTCGTTGGTTTTCCGATAAACGCCAGAAATCCAGTATCTCGGCACTCAAAAATAGGAAGCACAACCACCATGGACATCTTTATCTTTTTGAAGTGCTAATAGGAGAAAGGGAGGACACACTTATATGAAGAGAAAGACGAGGACTTGATCACATGCAAGAAAAGCATTCATGGCGTCTTCTCTATTGTAAGAGTGCTGGTAGAGTGGGCTGGAGGGGTATGGTGTGCTCATTTTCTGCTGTGGCATAGTAGGCTGGAAGTGATGCTGTAGGTGCTCTTCTTCACACTTCCATCCTGGATCACTAAAACGGAGCGAAGTAGGCAATGAGCACACCTCCCCCTCTAGCTCACCCTAGTAGCTGTTTCTTTTTGTGTTATCTTTTATTTTAAGCATATTCTCCTAATCACCTGTGGGATGACTTGTTCGACTGCAACATTGATTGCTTCCTAAAAAGATCTTGAATAAAAAAAATCTGCATTGTCTTATCCAAGACACTTTCTTCATATCTTCACTACCATGAATACACAAACTGCATACATATAACATCTGGCAGTTTAATTAAATTGCAACAAAGTTGGGCTCTTCCGATATTTACTATTTATGTGCTTTGCATTTGTGTGAAACGAATTACATTACTTATATTTTACTGCACTGCTCATGAGTTTCAACACTTGTCTTTTGAGATATACAGTATATATAATCGCACGACAAGAGCTGAAATAAACAAAAATGTCTGCACAATGCATGTGCTTCGTGTTGTGTTGTCCTTCCTTCCCCCCAGTCTCGGGGGTTTTGTCTAAAAAAATATCTACGTGGATGTTACAGTGGAAGCTAGGCAGAAAAAAGTAGGCAGAGACATTAAACACGTTCATAACGAATTCCTTGAACGCGATCTAATAAAATTGGTCTTGGATTCGCCGTTTAATGTGGCAAAATAATAAAAGTTGTACGCAACATTTCTTCACTGCACACCTTCAGTTTGCAGTGAAGAATCCAGCAATCAAAAACAGCGAAAGTTGCCAGCTAGAATCCTTTACAGAGTTATTTGAGACCAAACACGGCTTCGCAGTAGAGGTTCGAGGACGAGATTGCCCGTTATCGCATGTGGGGATAGTACGTGCGATGGTGTAACTTCACCCGAAATGTTGTTTGGATCTCGCACCGTCCAAACTCTTCAAGGTCACTACTTTGCACGACGTTTGTTTTCCATCCAAACACTGCTACTAGTACTTATAACAAAATGCGTGTTGAAGTCATGTAGATACACCTCAAAATAATGAGTTCCAGACGCGTTCGCGTCTACACCGTGCACACGTTTGCGTAGCATTACCAACGCTCGCCACGAGGGAGAATGGTTGCAAACAAAATAGAGCTCTCACAATAGCTTAACCATGCGGCTCTATCGACGACGGAACGAAATTTTTACAAGGTATTTGTCTTTATTACAAATATAAATAGTTTACTGTAACGCAGGCGCGCACATATCTAGCATCGCCGAGAGCATTGCTCGCGAAAGCTCTCGCTGCGGTATGATAGGGATTGCGGCAAAATATTGATATATATATGTGCTTTTGCGGAAATAACAGCTTACCTTCGATTCACGTAAGTAACCCGATGATATCCAAATTAATTTCACGCGCTGGAAATTACCAAAACAAGGAAGACTACGCTACTGCTAATCACATAACACAGCGGAACCGCCCTCCTGGCCCCCCGTCTGACGTTAGGAAGCGAATGGCCAGTGTTACCATCTTTTTTTTGCACGCGCCGCTAAATTGAGACCAGGAAGTCACTAAACAGTCGCTAGATTCGCCAGGAAGTCGCTAAAATATTCGCTGAATTCCAAAAGCTTATTAAACCCTTTTAAATAAGTGCACCTTAAATAACCATATCTCAGGTATTTTGATAGGTTAAACTTACACTGAAAAACAAATAGGACGGTTTTTATTTGTTAAAATATTTGTAATGTCTCTTAACCTTTTTGACTGTCGTTCAGGACTGATTTTCATCTGCTGATTGCAACTTTTTTTTCCAGAGCCGCACTTGTCAAGGCTATATCCCTCTTTACCAGTTTAGAGTGAGCACTTTCAAACAAAACCAGGCTTTTCTTAGTGTGCGGACAATACTGCCAACAGCCATGTTCTTAAAAAAAGGATCAAAATGTCTGAAAACTGAATGCAGTTATTCACAGGCAATTCCCAGGTAAAATTATGTCCACTTGACACCTCCCTAAACAGTTCCACAATCTTCTCAACGTTTGGCGGAGAGCACGTGGGTACGTGGGCGCGGGAGAGATGGTCTGCAGGTCCGCATTGTTTACGGTGTAGACATTGTTTTTAAGCGCGCCGCTAAATTGAGCATATATCCCAAGCAAACTCGGCTAGAGGAGCAAAAGGGTTTAGCCCGCGAGCATCTCTAAAATTGTTCAAAATAACAAGATTACGGTTGAACACCGAAGTCGCCAAAAAAGTCGCTAGCCGCTGAATCCAAAAAATCCGTCGCCAAATGTATAGAAAATCGCTAAATCTAGCGACAAAATCGCTAAAATGGCAACACTGCGAATGGCGGCGCTAGAGAGGGAGAGGGGAAAATTTTGGGGGGGAAAAAGGAATCGTAGATGGAAAGGAGGAAAGTTGTCTCTACCTCTAAAAACGAAAAAATATCCAGGGACGTTAGCGCCGACTAGAGTTCCTGTATAGGCTCCCTACGTAGCATATACAGGAACTCTAGCGCCGACTAAAGTCCCTCGATGTTTTTTCACTGCGTTTTACAAGTACCGTCATTCTTTGCCGCGCCGACATCTGTTTCTATTGGAGGAGAGCGATGTCACGTGATTTCCGCAAACGTCGCCACTTCCGTCCGCCATTTGCTTCCAAGCTGCTCGGCTGCTCCGTCCGCTCGCGTGTTTCGTGATACTCGCCGACGACTTTAGCTCGACGTCCTGGTGTTTCTGGACCGTAATGAGGCAAGTCAAGTAGTAAGCGTTTGTGTTAGATGACGGGGTGTTGCGCTTTTGGGTGCAGCCAGAGTTTTGGTAGTAGAAAAAAGTTGTTCGCCGTTCCGCTTCGGAAAGCCGATCTGAAGAGGCAGAAGGCATGGCTCCACATGATTGGGAGGAAAAACTTCGTCCCTACCAAAAGCAGCAAGCTTTGTGAGGTGAGCATTTCTGGGCTATAGGTACCTCTTCCACACACGTTCACATACGTACACATGCAATGTTTTTCCTGACGCGCCTGACTGCCGAACTCAGACTCAGCAAAAATGCAGTCTCGGTGCTCTGCCGTTTTAGCCTGTTGTTTTTCACTCGAAAACCCGGTTGTTCGGCAAAGTTTTTTGCGTAGTCTGAGTTTTTAAGGGACACGATATGAATGGATGAAGCCTCCGATTGGCCGCTTCAGCTGTGAGTGTCTCGCAGTGAACCTCTAGGAAACACGAAAAGCTACTACCGAGGACAATATGAGCCGAAAACGCCTTTCGTGCTTCTTTGGCTTACCACCTGTCTTTGAGAGAGCTGTGGTCCGAACTAGGAATAGAAAGCGAAGTTGAGGAATAATGGAGCTTGTGGGAGTCGCAGAACAAAGGTTGGATTGGGTGTTCCAGCTCATACTGTCCGCGCGCGGGGAGGGCGTACAATGCGCGGCACTGTTAGCGCGAACAGAGCATCGGTGTCTCTACGTATTTTACTTCCATGGTGTGTTGCTTTGCACCAAATTTTACCGCTTAGGTTAGCGTCTTAAATTAGCCCTTCCCACCGCACTAGCAGTTTTGATGACGAATTTTTGATTCCGATGGAGAAAAAAGCGGCGATTGCTCTTCTGTACTAACAGTGTGACGCTCTCTGCCCCCAAACAAAGTCAAATTTTTTAGTGTTCTCAGTGCAATGTCCCGTGAATTGCAAGTTAGCCCTGTTCATTCTCGACAGGACCATTTTACACCAGATCAATTTGAACCTCGGATCTGGCAGAGCCATGGCATCAAAAAACTTAAACCAGACGCTGTCAAAGCCAGTTCGAAGACCACCGCGAGAAAGGGAAATGGGAAACATCCAAGGTAAGTTGACACAGTCACAGATGGTGAATTTGCAGTCACTTGGCTGCTAGATTTGGTATTAAAATGCTACCTATTTTAAAGGCCGACGACCAGACTCGAGATTCTGCAAGGCAGAATACCCTCCTCACCATGGGGGAGGAGGAAACCGGCAACGGTGGGCAGTGTAAAATGGGGGAGAGGAGGAAGCGAGGGAATAGTGGAAAGCGCGAACTGGTCGTCGGTCTTTAAGCAGGGGAGCCAATGCAGGGGGAAGACAGCATCCAGACGCTTCCATCTCTTGATTCAACTGCTGCTCTGACAGGTGCCGTATTTCCTCCTTCACAGATTATTGAGAATATGCTTGCCCAAGGTGATGAATTAAGGCAAGTAGCATTGAACTGCATACTGACAAAGTTTACAATTTCAGCACAAGCCTTGCCCACGCACACAGAGGCACAATCCAGCAAAGTGCAAAACTGCGACCAGGAGTCTGTGCCTCAGGCGGGCCATCCAGTTGGTGAGTCACACGGAATTCGAGCATTTAGTAGCCGGGCACACGCAGCGACAGGCAGTCACAAACATCCTTAACTCGAGAGTGTGCCAGGCATACTCTAGGCTAATTCTTCCATTCCTTCTTTTTCGGCCTGTATTTGCCCATCTCAAATGTGGTATATGCTTTCTTGGGCATTCCTGCAACAATTGACTATCCTGTCATGCGTATATGTGCAGTAAGTACCCAGGACATCATAAAAAAGTATTGGAATTTATGTCAGCATGCTCTTCTGTGTAAGTGTTGATTTGCACCATACACGCGTCCCTGCCAGGGGCGGATGCAAACATTTCCTGAGAGGGGGGGGGGGGGGGGGTCAGGTGTCGGTCAGCGTACCATACGTTTAGGAACCCCCTCCCCCTCGTTTCACGTCCTAAATTTTACACATGCAAAAATCAAGAGGGGGGTCAGGACATCCGGACCCCTCCTCTAAATCCGCCCCTGGTCTCTGCTGTAATGAACAGCGCGAGTGGAATTTAACTCCCTGCTGATGAAATTCTCGGCTTCAGCACGAGCCTTGCCCATACTCACAGCCGCCCACTCTAGCGAGATGCAAAGCTGCGACTGGGAGTTTGTGCCCAATGCGGATGCTGCAGTTGCTGAGTAACATGATGGCCAGACACAAATGCTGCATGACATTGTTAGTGCGAGTACAACTGCGGCACTCTTTGCATTTTACTTTGAATTAGTAAATGCTGGCGCCAAATAATAGGCTGCAACTTTGTGCCCCATATGAACATTTTTCATGCCTTGTTTGCATTAACAGTGTCGCACTATGTTAGGTCAGAACCATCCTTAACACCAGTGGGGTGAGGCGTACGGAATTCATGCCATAGACCGATCTCACCAGCCAGTTTGACTACGCGCCATCGCTGTCGCAATGCATTGAGGGAACTTCAGTCTTTCTGCACGTGCCCGAAACACTGGAACTCTGCGCGTCAGACAGCACAAGCCGTTTCGGGCACCACCGTCTACCTATTGTGAACTAAAGTTATGGCGGCTTCATGCATGCGCCGAACGCTTGGTGAGGTGGGTCTATTGGTGGCAGGACGACAACAATTTCTTTTTTTTTGTCTCTATTGGTCCCTCTCAAAACAAATGCATTTCTGTGACCATTGACTACTCTGCCATACAAATGTCTGCTGCATGCACCATATTGTGGGGTTTCATTTCGTGCCTACAAAATTTACAGGTTCACTGCAAGTCTCGGTACAAAAATCGAACATGGCAGGCTCCATCCTAATAAGAACTGTTGGTCAGCGCTCCGTGCCTAAACAAAGTAAGTCAATGCCAAAGGGTGCAATATTGCTTTTGCATGAAATTACACACAGAATATATAAGAGCTTTATGCCCATTCTCGATTAATGCTGCAGGGAGCGGCTCCCTCCACAATTATGAGCATTCCTTATAAAAGTACAAATGACAGCCATGTGTAGAAGTGAACGACAGGACTGACGCTGGCTGTTCTCTTTGCTCGATACTCAGGAGCGGTTCCCTCATTCCTGGCAGCAGGCTCCTCCGTCCAGCCATGTACACCACAGGGGACGGCTGCTTCAAAGGGTGAGACGTTTCCCTGATTGAATGACAGCCATGTGTAGAAGTGAACGACAGGACTGATGCTGGCTGTACTCTTTGCTCGCTACTCAGTTGCGGTTCCCTCATCCCTGGCAGCAGGCTCCTTCTTCCAGCCAGGTACACCGCAGGGGACGAGTGCCTCCAAGGGTAAAGCATTTCCCTGAACGAATGACAGTCGTGTGTAGAAGTGAACAGTAGGACTGATGCTGGCTGTGCTATTTGCTCGCTACTCAGGTGCGGTTCCCTCATTCCTGGCAGCAGGCTCCCCCGTCCAGTCATGTACACCGCAGGGGACGAGTGCCTCGAAGGGTAAGGCATTTCCCTGATTGAATGACAGCCATGTGTAGAAGTGAACGACAGGACTGATGCTGGCTGTGCTGTTTGCTCGCTACTCAGTTGCGGTTCCCTGATCCCTGGCAGCAGGCTCCTTCTTCCAGCCAGGTACACCGCAGGGGACGAGTGCCTCGAAGGGTAAGGCATTTCCCTGGACGAATGACAGTCGTGTGTAGAAGTGAACGGTAGGACAGATGCTGGCTGTGCTCTTTGCTTGCTACTCAGGTGCGATTCCCTCATTCCTGGCAGCAGGCTCCTCCGTCCAGTCATGTACACCGCAGTCATGTACACCTCCCCTGAGTCCAATAGGTCAATCAATTCCTGGTGCTCCCCTTCTTCGTCATCGGTTGCCCAGATTCCTCGCCAGAAAGTAATCACCTGATCAACATCAATGTTCTCGTCCATCTCCTTCTGGGCTTCGTCAAGTTTCCGGTAGAAAGCAGACCGATTGAGCTCGAACAGCTTGTTCGTTTTCCGGTACTCAATCCGGTTTGCCGCTGTGACCGGTTTTTTGTGAAAGACTGCCCTTTCCTCTTCGATCTGGTTCTTGTTGTTAGAGCGGTACTGGTTGGCTTTGCAAATTCGTTTTAATGCTCTCGAGGGAGCCTTGTTCTGTTTGACCGGTGACAATTTGCAGCGATTGACTAAGCTCCTTCATCTTTATTTTAATGGCCTCCTTCCAGTTCAACTTCCTTTTGTCACCTCCTCATATAACAGCTGGCAAGCGCAGATCAAATCACTCAGCTCTGCTAGAATATTCACCTTCTTTTCCAGCCCGATCCCGATGACCATGATAGTTTACTTCCTGACTGTATACCTTTCTTGTTCTCTTTCGGTCAGTTTGGTGATTAAGGGCCAGCTCAATGTTACTGGCCAGCAGATTCTTTATATTGGTGTACAGTTGGCTGTTTGTTATGGTCGCTGGCAACGGCCATTCTCTTTCTTCGGCCACCTGACCACTGCCCGATTGAGTAGGCTGTTGTTGATTTTTGCACTGGGTATGCTTGTTTTTCATCGTTGTCTACGTTACATTCTGGTTATGCTTCCGATTATACTTGACTGTTATTTTTGGCCACCAACCATTGGGCATCCGTCCATGTGGTCCTTTACTTCGCTCAATCACCAGGGCCAACCATCTTTCTGGTGTTGTCGTCTCCCTGTCGGCTCGCCTCACAATCGCCGCAAAAGCCACTCCTCTGTCACTGAAAATTCTCATCATCATCGCCATTCAGGTCGGTTGGTTGGTGGTCATCGCCGGTTAGGTTGGCACTTTTGTTATCATCGGCAATGGCTGCTGGGGTTTGTGCTGAATGCGTCAGTGGCCCTTGCACTCGCGAGACGTCGTTGATTTTGGAGGAGTTTTCAGTTCCAACGCTCGGAGAATTTTTATTTAGCGTTTCCATCCCTGTTTGGCAGTGACACAGTCGTTGGTTTTCCGATAAACACCAGAAAACCAGTATCTCGGCACTCACAAAATTGGAAACACAACCACCATGGACATCTTTATCTTTTTGAAGTGCTAATAGGAGAAAGGGAGGACACACTTATATGAAGAGAAAGACAAGGACTTGATCGCAAGCAAGAAAAACATTCATGGCGTATTGTAAGAGTGCTGGTAGAGTGGGCTGGAGGGGTATGGTGTGCTCATTTTCTGCTTTGGCATAGTAGTCTGGAAGTGATGCCTGTGGGTGCTCTTCTTCACACTTCTATCCTGGATCACTAAAATGGAGCGAAGTAGGCAATGAGCACACCTCCCCCTCTAGCTCACCCTAGTAGCTGTTTCTTTTTGTGTTATCCTTTATTTTAAGCATATTCTCGTAATCTCCTGTGGGATGACTTGTTCGACTGCAACATTGATTACTTCCTAAAAAGATCTTGAATAAAAAAATCAAAAAAATCTGCGTTGTCTTATCCAAGACACTTTCTTCATACCTTTACTACCATGCATACACAAACTGCATACATATCATAACATGTGGCAGTTCAATTAAATTGCAACAAAGTTGGGCTCTTCCCATATTTACTATTTATGTGCTTTGCATTTGCGTGAACCCAATTACATTAATTATATTTTACTGCACTGCTCATGAGTTTCAAGAGAGCTGAAATAAACAAAAATGTCTGCACAATGCATGTGCTTCGTGTTGTGTTGTCCTTCCTTCCCCCCAGTCTCGGGGGTTTTGTCTGAAAAAATATCTACGTGGATGTTACAGTGGAAGCTAGGCAGAAAAAAAGTAGACAGAGACATTAAACACGTTTATAACGAATTCCTTGAAGGCGATCTAATAAAATTGGTCTTGGATTCACCGTTTAATGTGGCAAAATAATAAAAGTTGTACGCAACAATTCTTCACTGCAGGCTGAAGGTAGGCTATCCAGCAATCAAAAAGAGCGAAAGTTGCCAGCTAGAATCCTTCACAGACTTATTTAAGACGAAACACGGCTCCGCAGTAGAGGTTCGAGGACGAGATTGCCCGTTATCGCATGTGGGGATAACACGTGCGATGGTGTAACTTCACCCGAAATATTGTTTGGGACTGGTGAGTTAAGTGCTGTAAATTCATCCGCACGGATCTCGCACCGTCCAAACTCGTCAAGGTCACTACTTTGCACGACGTTTGTTTTTCATCCAAACACTGCTACTAGTACTTATAACAAAATGTGTGTTGAAGTCATGTAGATACACCCCAAAATAATGAGTTCCAGACCCGTTTGCGTCTACACCGTGCACACGTTTGCGTAGCATTACGAACGCTCGCCACGAGGGAGAATGGTTGCAAACAAAATAGAGTTCTCACGATAGCTTAACCATGCGGCTCTATCGACGACGGAATGAAATTTTCACAATACATTTGTCTTTATTACAAATATAAATAGTTTATTGTAACGCAGGCGCGCACATATCTAGCATTGCCAAGAGTATTGCTCGCGAAAGCTCTCGCTGCGGTATGATAGGGATTGCGGCAAAATATTGATACATATATGTGCTTTTGCGGAAATAACAGCTTACCTTCGATTCACGTAAGTAACCCGATGATATCCAAATTAATTTCACGCGCTGGAAATTACCAAAACAAGGAAGACTACGCTACTGCTAACCACATAACAACACAGCGGAACCGCCCTCCCGTCTGACGTTAGGAAGCGAATGGCGGCGCTAGAGAGGGGGAGGGGAAAATTTTTGGGGGAAAGAGGAATCGTAGATGGAAAGGAGGAAAGTTGTCGCTACCTGTAAAAACGAAAAAATATTCAGGGACGTTAGCGCCGACCCCATAGCGGCGCCATCTGTTGACAGCCCGTGATATCGCGAGGAGAAACTTACTCTCGCTACAGTTACTCTCGAGTTCGAGTGAGGGTTAAGGGAGGGTATCATCGAAAGAAGTGGTCGCAAAAGAGTAACTTTGATGAAGAGAGAGTTAAAATAGAGTAAGTTGGGGCACTTACTCTCCTCTGACACCTTTTTTTTTTTAGAGTGTACACTGCATTTTTTTACGTGTAAGTCCGCCTTTTACTTGGTTTTTGTTCCGATGCATGCTTTCTGCGTTATATGTTTTACATTCAAGTGACTCTCGCTCATTTCCTTTGACTTTAGACTCTGCTTACTGTGTTTCACCATGGTGGACCGCTGCGGACGCTACGAGTCACCCCAGCCAACCTAGCACCGTGAGGGGGACTACACACACGGCGCGTTGCTGCGCCCAAGGGTCACGCGACACTCTGAAGGCACTGGATTGGTTTCGATGGCTCTCGTGTTGTCTGTTGCGGTCCAGGGTAAGATGAAGTAGATTGTCGTCACCGTCTTGTCGCGTGACCGAACTGACTAGACCTGCAGAAAGACATTATCGTGACATGGTCTATTAGCCCCGAGAAGTTCGCCTGGCGCCCCCTTACGGCGAACCGGGGTGACGTCACGGCGAGGAGAGAATTTTTCCCCCGACTCGCCCCGCTCGCCCTGTGGACGCTGTGACGACGCTAGCTGTCGGCGCGCTCGTTTCTATTTAACATTTTTTTGGCGTGCTTTTCGTAGGAAGTGTAAATTTTTATATACGCCTTTATTGAGGTATGGCCTGTAGCTACAGGCGAAACTTCAACGAACATTTTAAGCATGGCTGACAGGCCAGGCAACGCATGAACCGCAGCTGGTATGTGAAAATAAAGAAATATGGCCACAATTGCAGGGGCATCACTACAGATTTATATCTCGCACAATAAACGCTGCTGATGGTCCGAATGAATTGGCAGGTTATGTACACTATTTTTTTGTATCTCTGTCTTTAAACAAGATCGCCGCAGCAGAAAAGCTGCATGCTGCTCGAGCAACGTGCTAAATACAGTCTCGGCCATGGGGAGAGAATCACAAGTAAGACAGCCCAAGTGCAGGGGCAAAGCAAAAAAAAAAAAACAAGGAACATGTATTATATACATTGCTCGCACTTGACCTTTGCTGGATTCGGATAGTATTTCAATGGACTACACGGGTGGTATCTGTGGACTTGTTTATATCAATCCTCAAGTAATATATAACAAACGTAAGTTAAGGTGTCTAGCTCGTTATTAGTCCGTTAAGCCCTCAAATTAAGATTTTACTTAAATCGAATTGTCCTGAAGCTAAAGTACCAGAAGCTTTTCTCACGCAGACTGTCGCCCTTCACAGGTTCCAAATTTTCTGCTACCAGTGCTGCATCTACCACTGGACAGACGTTCGAATGCTTGCTCCTGTTTTCCTCTGTTGTCAGAGAGTCCAGTTGCAGGGAGTTTGGAGGCTGAGGAAGCTTTTGGGGACCTGCGGCAGTGACTCTTAAATGGAAATGACAATTCAGACTTAACGGTGTATTTTCCGAATACCAAAGGCTGGAATAAAGAATGTCAGTAAAAAGTATAAACATTCCAAATTACGGCACTATTGCTGTGCATATTTTGGTCAGTTTACTGCATATCATAGAGGCAACTGGGGAAATTCGGCCGTTTTTGCTGCTACCATACAAACTAATTTCCAGTAATTGTGAATCCTCTAAGAAATATGCCTGCATACGCGTATAAACTATATAATTAATTCAGGAAGAAGCTACATTTATGTAAACCAACCCTGTTTCATGAGCACTTCAAAGATCATCAGACGCAGGGCCTTTAAAACATCTGCAA